GCCTGGAAGGGGGCAGGGGGCTCACAGAGTGGGCCCCCTCAGTGCCTGGCTGTGAAGCTAGCACTTCACTGGGCAGTGGAGGAGCCCAGAAAAGATTTTAAATAGGGACATGTGACATATGACCAGTTACACTCTGGGGAAAATTATTTGTTTACATTTATACTTTGCCTCATTCATTCAGCCTATGTATTTAGAAAGGTTACTCTGTACCAGGTACTGTGCTAAACACTGGCGTGCAGCAGTGACCAAAAGAGACCAAATTCCTCCAAGAGCTAAAGACCAGTGAGGGGGACCGATGACCAGTAAGGAAACACACGAAGTAGACCATGATTACACACACAGGGTACGTTCATAGAGGATGGTGACTTGTTACAGAGGGAGGATGGACAACTGGTAGGGTAGCCAGGAAGAGCCTTCTCAGGGAATGATGTTTCAGCCAAGACCAAAAGATGAGAAAGAGTCAGCCAGCCCTGGGGAGGAGGGAGAGGAACACTTACACAACATTCTACGCTGAGAAAATTCCATGAATTGAAGGAGCTTGGGGGACCACAACTGTGCTAATCTGAACATGGGGTATTGAGGGCTTGAGGAAGGGAGGGCAGTGGCAGTGGGAGTAGAAAGGATGAGCAAAGCTTAGGGGACAGTTGATGGTAATGCTGGGGTTTGGAGCCATGCTGAGTGGGCAAATGGTTGGGTGATGCTGCGTAAGGAAGTCAGGAAGCAGGGCCAGATGTGTGAAAAGGTGTTGGGTTTGGTTTTGGTCATGCTGAGTGTGTGACCCTGGTAGGCTGTAGAAACAGCTGGAAGACTGAGAGGGGGAGAGGGGCAAAGAGGAGGGAACCTGGAGGAAGTCCTTGATGCCGTAGCTTTCTCCCTTCCTCTTTTTTCTTCTCAAAGGCCCCACCCCGTGGTTCTTGACTTCCCAGCCTGCCTCCTTCCCCTCTGGGAGCTGGGAAGATGGAGGTGGGGGGTGGTAGCTGCAGTTCTGCTCCTTCGGGTCAGCCTGAATCTCTGTTGCTCCTTGAGAGGACACGGCTTGCTGGCCCTGGCTTCTTACTCTCCGTCTTACATACCCCAGCAGCCACTGGCACATATGTGCTGCCCTGGCATCTCTTCCCAGCTCTCGTACCCCCTTGGCACCTTGGGTGGGCTGTGGGCATGGAGGGGGATGCTGCTGTCAGAGGAGCACTGACCCTCTGATGCTGTCACCCAAGGTGAATGTTGGAGACACAGTCGCGATGCTGCCCAAGTCCCGGAGAGCCCTAACTATCCAGGAGATTGCTGCGCTGGCCAGATCCTCCCTGCATGGTACGCACCCCCCTCCCATACCTCTGGCCACTTTGTCCTTCCTTCTTCCTTTTGCAGTTACCCTTGGGGGCTGTATCCTGTGAGCTCTTGCTGGGATCTCCCCCTTCCTCCCCTTCTCAGATGAATCTCAGCTCCCTCCTCCCATCCAAAGGCACATGTGGACCCTAACTACCACCACCCTTCCACTTCCCTCCCTGGCCTGTGCCCTCACCAGGCTTCCTCCTTCTGCCCCACCCAAAGGTATTTCTCAGGTGGTGAAGGACCACGTGACCAAGCCCACCGCCATGGCACAGGGCCGAGTGGCTCACCTCATTGAGTGGAAGGGCTGGAGCAAGCCAAGCGACTCGCCTGCTGCCCTGGAATCAGCCTTTTCCTCCTATTCGGACCTCAGTGAGGGTGAACAAGAGGCTCGCTTTGCGGCAGGTGGGGACAGGAAGGGGTTAGCCACACGTTTGTCATTGGGATGCTCTTCCCACACCCCCATCTCTTCTCTCTCCTGTCTCCAGCCTGAGCCCTAGTCTTAGTCCTTCAGCTAATGAATCCTGCTAAGGAACCTTCTCTGCTAATAAATTCTTTGGCCTCCCTGACAGGAGTGGCCGAGCAGTTTGCCATTGCAGAAGCCAAGCTCCGGGCCTGGTCTTCAGTGGATGGTGAGGACTCCACCGATGAATCCTATGATGAGGACTTTGCTGGAGGAACTGACTCAGGTAAGGGGTAGACAATGCCAGTGCTGGGGTGGGCCTGCCCGAGAAGCCTTGTGATTCTGAGCTCAGCCTTCGGAAGGGGACGGTGGGGGCAGGCCCTGTCCCGGCCGTGCCTTGACCTTCCAGGGCCAAGAGGGCTGTTCTCGCTCGTGGGTGGGCAGTCAGCAGCTACAAATGGAGTGGTTCCTTTAGCCCACGTGCTGAGCCTTTTCTGCCCATCTGTGCCATTGGGCCTTGTGGTCCAGAGACCTCACTGACACCTTCTGGGCAGCTGCATCTCTGGGGGGGGGGTGGTCTGCTGTGCCTTGCCTTCCCCTTTTGGGGCTGCCTTCTGGCCAGCTGTGGCAGCACAGATGAGCCAGCAGCATAGCACCTCCCAGGGCTGGGGCCCCAGGCAAACAGGAAGGCGTGCTGGGCCTGGACTGCCCACAGGGCCATGCTGGCTCAGGCTCAGCCTCCTTGAATTCCATCTGAGACCTGCCTCTGGGCCTTTCTCTGGGCCAGCGCTTGCAGAGGGGACCCTGCGGGGCTGTGCAGCTGTGCACGGCCCTCCTTTCATCTTCCGATTCTTCCTGGACCACATGGCTGACTTTCTCTGTAGCTTCTGGGCTCATGCCTCACAACACCCCACTGCCCCATACTTCTTTGCCTTTGAAGATTGCCTCCACCAGCCCCCACCCGTCTAGCTAATTAACAGATTCTCCAAGGGCAATACAGTAGAGCAGATTGGCAATATGTTAGACCTCTGCTGTGGTCCAGAGGTGACTGATTTGGATGCCTGAGGCCAAGATGGAGCCCTGAACCACAAACATTCTTGTCTGATTGAGTTCCAGGCCTGCTTTGACCCCTGGTATAACGATAATAACTAACATTTATCCAAGGCCACTACTATCCCACGTAGAACCTTTGTGCAAATTAGAAAAAAGCACCTCTTTCTCTGGTGGGCGCAGCCCGATGCTAGGCCTCGCTGTTTGGTGAGCAGAGTGTGGGCTGAACTCCAGTCCACACTCACTGCCTTGGACAGGCTCCCCTCGTGCAGGGAACCAGTGGCATGACCGTGTGTGGTATCTGTGCATTTATTGCTCTCTTACTGTATGCTGCATTCTTTTGTTCTCTCAACAACCCCATAAGTAGGTCTATCAGATTCCCCAATTTGCCACTAAGGAAACGGAGGCGCTGAGAGATGAAGTTAGCGAGCTCCTACCCTCTCCCCCCAGAGCTAGCGGCACCAAGGGTGGAGTGGGGAGAACGTGGCTCCCTCCAGGTGGGCCAGTTGAAACGGGGCAGGTAGGGCTATCTTCTTTTTCTCTCCCCCTGCAGAGATGGCCGGGCAGCTGCCTCTGGGGCCCCACCTCCAGGACCTCTTCACCGGCCCCCGGTTCTCCAGGCCTGTGCGCCAGGGCTCTGTGGAGCCTGAGAGCGACTGCTCGCAGACCGTGTCCCCAGAGACCCTGTGCTCCAGCCTCTGCAGCCTGGAGGACGGGTTGCTGGGCTCCCCAGCCCGCCTGGCCTCCCAGCTGCTGGGCGACCAGCTGCTCCTTGCCACACTGCCCCCCAGCCGGGAAAGTGCCTTCCGTAGCCTGGGCCCATTGGAGGCCCAGGACTCGCTCTACAGCTCGCCTCTCATGGAGTCCTGCCTTTCCCCCGCCGAGGAGGAGCCAGCCACCTGCAAGGACTGCCAGCCTCTCTGCCCGCCGGGCAGCTGGGAACGGCAGCGGCAAGCCTCTGATGTGGCTTCTTCGGGGGTGGTGTCCTTAGACGAGGACGAGGCAGAGCCGGAGGAACAGTGACCCAAATCATGCCTGGTGGTGGCATGTGTCTCCCGGCTGCTGCTGGGGGCAAAGCCTCTGTGCCCAAGTGCGGGCGAGAGGCTTCCGGCAGAGCTCCAAAGCCTAGAGGGCTCCTGGGAGCACTCACTCCTCCGTTGTGTGTTTTGCATGAAAGTGTTTGGAGAGGAGGCAGGGGCCAGGCTGGGGGCGCATGTCCTGCCCCCACTCCTGGGGTTTGCCGGGGGTTGCCCGGGGCCCCTGGGGCATGGCTACAGCTGTGGCAGACAGTGATGTTCATGTTCTTAAATCAAAAACGCCACATACACATTTCCTCCTTGGATGATGTGAACCCCTAAGGGGGTGGTTGTGACTGGGCCGTGTGGGGTGGAACGGGAGGGAGCCCGCCCCCCCCCGCCCCCTTCCCCATGCCTCTCTCTTCTCTGCTTCTCTCCACCTCTTGAGTCCATGTGCAGTGCTCGATAGAATCACCCCTACCCCAGGGCGGGCTGGCTCTTACCCTCCTGGAGCCTAGGATTGAGCCATCCCCCAAGGGCCCCTCACCCAGCTGGGCTCGTGCTGTGCTTCGCCTCTCCATCACCTCTAAATCTTCTTCTTTTTCCTAAAGAAAGAGGGGTTTTGGTCTGTTCTTTCAGTCGGATGTTCTCTGGGAGGCATTGGATTGATGAAAGCATGTACCCTCCACCCTTTTCCTGGCCCCTTGTATGATGTGTGGGCAGGGTCCCAGCGGCTCCCAGCCTGCCTGGCTGCCCCCATTCACCAAGTTCTCCTTAGAGCCAAGCTGGGAGAAGGGGTGGGTGGCTCTGGTGGCTTCGGAGCTGTGACTTCGCTGTTCTTCCGGAGAGGGTCGCAAGGGGGCCATACGGGTGGCTGGGCAGTTGTCTACTGATGCCTGAGCCCGGCAGAAATGGTGCCAACGAGCGACGGTTGGTCGTGTGGGAGTGTCTCTCCTTGGGGAGGGAAGAGAGTAGTGCCTTTCTTGGCTGAACTAAAGGCCAAAGCTACAGTACTGAGGGCCTGTGCCCTAGCTAGGATTTTGCTAACTAAGCAGTGGAGGCCTCTGTAGATCCCGTATTCCACAGACAGTGAGCTCTGGGTTTGATGGGTGCGGGGGGTGTGGGTGGCTGCAGAATTCGGAGCCTTGTAGGCTTTGGCAGGTAAGAGGGCCCAAGGTAAGAACAAGAGCTGATGGGCACAGGCATTCTATATATAAGTGGCTCATTAGGTGTTTATTTTGTTCTATTTAAGAATTTGTTTTATTAAATTAATATAAAAATCTTTGTAAATCTCTATATACATCTGGTCATTGGAGGAGGTTCCAGTATAAACCCATCTTAGTTCTACCCCTTTTCCCCTCAGAGGGGGAGCAGGGGTCAAGTGACTCCACCCCTATCCTGCCAGGGGGGATGCTGATCTTCCTGCCCATGGAATACTTGCTGCAGGTAGGCACTCGGTCAGATTCCAGGTAGGACGAACCAGGAGGAGCTTGGCACCACCCCAGGCCTGGAAGGGAGGCTAGGGCTCCAGCCTTTAGTGTAGCCACCTCCTTTCCCAAGGCAGAAGGAATAGGAGAGCTTCAGGATTGGCCAACTGCCACGGCCACTGCCATCCTAGGCCGCCCATTGAGGGGTTCATTGGCACTTGTCATCGCTGTCAGAAGGGCTCCCCTCCCGTGGGAGGCCATGATGGGAGCGGGGCCCCCAGAGTGCATGCACCTCCGTGGTCTCCGTGTCACTGCTGCTGGTGGCACTGTCACGGAAGCTGGCGAGGGGCGGCCGGACTTTGACGCCCTGTGCTGTGACAGAGCCCTCGATGGCCTTCCGGAGCTGGAGAGGGGAGAGGGTCAGATGTGTGGACTCTGCGCTCCCTGCTCAGACTCCACCCTCAGGTGGGCTGGGCACAAGCCTGCATGCCTTTTTCGAAGCAGAAATGGTTTGATGGCCATTTATCATCTCACCTCCTTTAGAGTGACGATCCCAATGAGTCTGCCAATACTGGTGACATAAGCATGGTCCACTCCCAGTAGCGAGAAGATGGTGTGAGTCTGCGGGGTCGGGAGAAAACACACCAGACGTCATGCGCAAGGGCACAGTTCTATAAGTTACTGGGCAGAGGGTCCCAGGACAAGGTGGGGGGTGGGGAACAGGAGGGGTGCCATAGATGGTGGGGGGGAAGGGAGGGCCACTGGAGGGAAAAGAATAATGAGAATGTTTCTGCAGCCAGGCCTCAGAAACTTGATAGTGGGTATCTTTATGTTGCTTATGTTGATGGAGAAACAGACAGAGGAAGGATTCTTCCTCCTATGTTGGAAAGGAGGATGATGGAGGAGAGAACAGCTGTTCAAATGTGACATCTAATGATTGGCCAGGCACTGGGCTAGGGCTTCCTGAAATTAGCAACTAATTTCAGTCCTGTTCTGAGAAGTAAGGATGATACCCATTCTACGGGAGGGGCAACATGAGGCTTAGTGGTGCGATGACTCTGCAGCTCCAGAAGGAGCTTTTCATCACACTGTGGGAGGAGGAGACTTAGCGCCAGTCCCTGTGCAGGTGTCCAGTCAGTCACGGAGGTATCCGTAGCCTTTAGAGGTACCGGCCCTGAGTTCCGTGCCTCTCGCCCCACTTTAGTGGCTGACACATGCTTCCCGTTTGCCTCCAGCTGGCTGGCAGTTAAAGTGTCCCCTCCCCTGGGCTCCGACATGTCAGTTGTGGCCTGAAGCTCTCTATGTCTCGCATACAGTTTGGCTCTTCTGGGGCCCAAGTAGCATCCCAGGTGCTGCTGAGATGGAGCCTGAAGTCCAGGGAAGCGACAGCCATCCACATGCTCCCATGTTTTTCTTGGTTTGGGCTCTCCCCCTCAACTTTTACATGTAATCCCCAGGGGCTCAGAAATTGTCAACCAGCTTTCCTTGTGTTCTAAGTAGGTTTTCTTGGGCCAGATGTCTTGAAAAACACTCTACTGACACGGCCCTTCCTGGAATTTGGGGCCTATCACTTATCACTGTGTTTTGAGTTCACTTTTAAGCCTCTTGGCTTAGTGTCTGAATCAAAATGGGCATTGATAACCCAGCTTTTCGAGTACCAGTTACTCAAACTCATTATAACTGTCTGAAAGCTTTAAAAATATTTTCTTAAACAGGTGCTAAATTTTTTTATTAAAGGACTTCCAGAACTTAACTAACTCTCCAGCTAAGGCATGACCATACTTATAAAAGCAGTTAGAAGTTCAGTTTTAGAGTAAGCTTTTCTGTGTTCCTTCAATACCTTTATCACAACTGTCATGTGGTTACTAGCAAGTTCTTCCTCATATCCAACTTCAATCCTGCGTGCTGCATGTTTCCTTTGATTTCCTCATCTGACTTCAAAGGGAAACATATCTTTGTTATGAGATTTCTTGTCCTAATAATCCTGTAGCTTTGTCTTCTTATGGTTTAATAATCCCTCTATCCTCTCCCAAGTATCCTACTAAATCATTCCCCTGGATTCTTCTTTTTCTCCACAGTCTTAATGAGAATGAGCTTCTGGCAGGTGATGTGCCTTTTAGGTTTGCAAACCACTGGTCCCCGGCAGTCACCGAGCGCTGCTGATCTGCTTCTTGAACATCTTGGCCATCCTCTCTGACTCCACAGCATCCTCATGGGGTCTGTTTTTGGTCTCCCTTCCCTCCCACTTGGCTCTGCCATCCTATGAGCTTTCTCAAACTTGAGTTAGAGCCCAGACTCCCCAGTATGGCCCACAAGACCCTTCTCAAAGCCGTACCAGCTGGTCTTTCCAGCCTCAGATTCTGCCAGGTCCTCCAGCTTCCAGCCTCACATAATCACTCATCTTTTTTCTGAACACGTCCATTTCTTACACACGTCAATCCTTCCCTCGCTACACTACCTTTTAAAGTCCCCCACTGTCCGCCTGTCAGTACAAGCAGTGGTAGGAGTCATTCCTCACATATATGGAACTTTAGAACTCCTACTAGGAGTTCTAAATAGCACTGTTCTAAATATCCTGTATCAAGTCCTTCATCCAAAGAAAAACCTCTGCTAGGGTACTGATCCCCATCCTACCGATAAGGAAAGTGAAGCCCAGAGAGGCTAAGAAATTTACCGAGGCTCCCCAGCTAGCTGACACATGGCAGACTGAGGATTTGGGTAAAGCCTGGCTGGCCCAGCTTTGACACCCCAGCCTCTCCTGCCTCCCCCACTGCTTGTCTGTGGGTGACCTCAGAATGAATGCGGCATCTAGCTGGTATGGCTGGCCAGCTCTAGACTCGCAGCTTCCTAAATAGTTTCCAGTGAATTCCCTTTCCTCCTGAATGTTCTCCTCCTGAACTTGATTAGGCTACTACTAATTGCTTCCTCAGGCCTGCAAGGACATTTTGAATTCTAATCTTTTATGTTCTTATCGCTTCCAGTTCTTTGTACTTTTGTTGGTTGGTTCCTCAAAGGCTTCTTCTCTTCCTCTGATTTTTAAGTTTGTAACAAACACCCACTTTGTTCTTTTTTATTTTAATTTAATTAGACACCAGGGAGTCCATTGGAGGGCCTGCACATCTTGGGCTTGGGAACAGTGGATTGACAGGGAGAGCGACAACAACGTGGCCATCTGAAAGAATCCTGGGATTGGGGCCAGGAAATCTGGGCTCTGGGCCTCATTCTGCTCTATTGACTCAGGCAAGGGACCTCCTCACTGCCTCAGTCTCCCCGGGTATTAAAGTGGTTAAGTCCCCAGGCTTTTGGGTCAGACCATCTTGGGTTCCAGTCCAGTTGTGCTGCTTACTAGCTGTGACCTTGGGCAACTTGCTTAACTTCTCTGAATCTCAATGTCCTCATCTATAAAAACTGGAATATCACAATATCTATTTCACAGTCTTGTTATAAGGATTAAATTAAACATGAAGAGCTTGGCAAGTTCCTGGCACAGAAGCAGACACTAAAAAAAAGGCAACATTCTTATCACCATCATCATTATGGGATATTTGAGGACTAAGTAAGATGATAGAAAAGCTTTAGAGGTCTTAGGAAGAAAGGCTTTAAATAAAAACTCAGTGTATTCTCAGGCCTATAGATTTTTTTCTTGCAACTGCACTGTAGTTTCCTAGTCGCTTTGATCTGAGGTCTTTACCCAAAGGCTTATAAGTTCTTTCATTGCCTTTTGCTTTTTTGTTGTTGTTGTTATTGCCTTCTGCTTTTCTGTTTCTTCGTGCCCTGTGCTTTCTGGCCCAGCCCCTGCTTGTCGGAGATAGGCTGGCTCTTCGGCACAGCTTGCACCTCAGCTAGCTGCCGGGGCTGCAGACCTTGGAAGTGTTCCTCCGCTGCCCGCAGCCCCCGTGCCTTGGAGGCGTGCACAATTTAGCTAAAATACTTGGTTTCTACCCCGGCACCCTGCTGGGTTTGCCTGCATTCCCTTAGAAGCCTGAAAGTGCCTGATGATGCCGCTGCTCCATGCTGGGGAGCCCCCACCCTCCGGCGTCAGCCTCAGCCTCCACCAACCTGTCTGCACTCAAGTTTTCTCCCCACTTCTGCAGGCCGGTTTGCCCTTCTCCTGAGCTATCTTCCCTTGTCCCTACCAGTTTTCCTTTGGCTTACATTAAGTCAGACTTTCTGGGGTCTGACATTCCAGGCCCCCCACTGGGCGTTTCTCGTCTTTGTTTATCTCTTCTCTGCAGCGTCCCCACCCCTACTTGGATGTTTGTTAGCTTGTTTATTAGATTTTCTTGTCCTGCTTGTTTCTCACCCGTTTTTTTCAGCGTGGGTGTAACAGCCTTGTTGGGTGCTGGCAGTCTCCCGCCTGCCTCTGACCCTCTCCTGGCCTTCTGGCTTCCACCCAGCTGAAACCCTGTCTTTGTTGCTGCTTTGGTCCAGAGTTCCCAGGGGGCAAGGCTGAGCAGGGGAAAAATGATGCCTGGCTCCACGGTAGGCAGGAAGAGGCTAAGGGGCCCTGGCTCCTGGCCTCCCATCCTTTGAGGCAGTGTGTCTGAAAAACATCTCAGCCAAGAGCCCACCCTCTGCTGTCCTGTTTTACCCCACTGGCCTGCGTCCAAACTGTGGGAGGACCTAGATCCCCACCCTGTGCTCCTGAGAGCCCAGGCCGGCCCCAGACCAGGGGCCACGGCCCCTACCTTGTGCAAAGAGGTCCGCTCCACCAGCTGGAAGGGGGCGGGGTCAATTTTGCAGTCACTGAAGTTGACAGGTTCATCCAGTTGCTGTTCTTCCCACTCCAGAATCTGAGAGGATGAGACTAAGAGGATTAAGGGGAAGGTGCCAATAGCTACTCTCGCCTCCCTGAAAGCTGGCCTGCCCCTTTTCCCACCCCAGGGTCCCTCCCCACGGTCCCTCCCATGGGGACAGCCGCCAAGATGATGACTGCACACTCCCAGGCAGAACGAGGGTCCAGAGTCCATTCACACTACTTACCTCCTCAGGGGTCATCTCGCCTTCCAGATCTGAGTCACTCTAGGAGAGAGGGAGGGAGCTTGGCAGCTAGTGGCTGGGGGGAGGTGGAGGTGGGTGTACCCCCCAGCTTGGGGAGGCTGATGCTGCTAGACCCCAGCCCTACCCGGTTAGTACTCCTGGGCTGCAGGAAGAAAGGGAGCACTTACCGCCAGGGAGATTCGGACCCGCTTCAGCTTGCGCTTGTTATATGATTCCGACTTCTCCAACTTTGTTAGAGCCAGAGAGAAGAGGAATTGATGTTACAGGGAGGGAGGTGAGGGTAAGCGGTGGAGCTGAGAGGAAGGGCACGCAGCAGGGACAGAGCTGACATCTGGGAGGGCAGAAGGGCAGGGAGAATGGAGGCAGGCTTTGCAGGGTAAATGGAGTGGTGGTCTCAGTGTCAGAGAGAGAGAGCTGGAAAGAAAGAGACAGAGAGACTCCAACTACTCACCTCTGAAGCAGCCTCAGGGGGTGGACTGCCACAGAAGAGGCTCCTGAGGGCGATGCCTGCCTGCTCCATGTTCCCTGTGTTCCCAAACACAAGGCGGGGGGTGGGGAGGGGTGCAATGTCATCTTTGAGGGAGAGGACCAGCAGAGGTGAGGAGGGCGAAAGGAGAGGTGTCCTGGTTCTACCCCTGGCCCATCTGGGCAGCCTCTTACCTGGGATATGCTCAAGCAAAATCTCAAGGGCTGGGTTCTGGCTCTGTCAGTGGGAGACAGGCTCACCTGTGGGACTTTCCCCGAGGCTCATGGTGTTGCTGGGCCCCCTCTTGAGAGCAGGCTTCAGGGGCTTGTGAGTCTCTCCCCGGGCTGCAGGGAAACCTGAGTCCTCTGTGTTCACCTGCACGGGCAAGGAAGGGGCTGGTGAGGCTATGGCCCCAGATTGCCTCTGTGTCGCCCTCCCAATCAGTCTACACGACATTTAGGAAGTTTGTGTGGCTGTGGGGTTTCCTCCTCACCTGGAATCGGACGGAGGTCTCAGGGCTAGGGGGGCTCTCCTGATCAGATGGTGGAGAGGCCTGGGCAGCTCGACGCTCTTGCATGTACTGCTGCCGGCGGCCTGGGCTCAGCTGGGCCCCCAGCAATGCCACCACCTGTGAGCGCTCAATGGAGCCCAGGAGGATCATGGACTCTGGACAGAGCAGGTGGGAGGACTCAGAAGCTAGGGGTGACGTCCTCCTACTCACCCCCCGGCCTTCTTTCACACCCAGAGTGTGGCCTTGGACATAGGCCACACACCAGAGGGAACTCCTGGCTGGCAAATGCTGGCCTGCTCCCTTTGGAACCAAGGAGACTGGTTCTGAGCTCCTTGGGCCCTCCCCCTTCCTGAGTGGCAACCCTGGGAGATGCCCCTAGCACTGGGGTCCCCTCCTGGTCTCACCAGGGGACTCTACTAGGGCCAACATGCGGCCCTTGGTTCTGTGCAGTGCCAGCCGAAGGTCCCGGAAGGTGCAGCTGAGGGCCACGTGGGGAACATCCCGCACCATGATGTCCTCCACTCGCATCCGGTACTGCCTGAGGGCAGAGACAGGAGGCACTTGGTTTGTGGTCCGGATGGGGAGGGTAGCCCGGAGCACTACATCCCAGGGCCATAAAGAAGGCCCTAGCCTGTGGGCATGAGGGTTAAGAGCCAAGGAGTCTGATCAGGTGGGGCCAGCCATGGCTACCCCCAGCATGTGGACGGGGCAGCTCTGACCAGGAGGGAGCAGGGTGGCTGGTCTTCTAGCTTCACTGTCTGAGGACCTCGGTGGAGGTGGGTCTGAGGGGTCCTTCTGACCCTCACCCTCACCCCCCTTGTCGCCCAGCCCTCCATACTGGTGGCGGCCCCAGCCCAGCTCAGGCAAATAGGGCAGTTTCTTGATCCGGATGATGCTGTCATAGAGTGAGGGCTGTAGGCTCTGGGCAACGGCGTTGGCCAGGATGACGGCGATCATGACGGGTAGGATGTGGGCGATCTGGCCCGTGAGCTCGAACACAATCACGGCCGTGGACACTGTGTGTGTCACTGCTCCTGCCAGTGCAGCGGCCCCTGGAGATAGCCACCCTCAGTTTCCTCAGGGTGCCCAGGCCCCAGATGACCCCCCCGCCCAGCGATGGTCCTCTGGGGGCCCTCAGGGCCGCCCAGTACAGACCTGGAGACTGGCTTCTGTATCTGAGGGAAGCCTGGTTTCTGCCAGCAGGGGGCACCAGAACCTCAGACACAGTGGCCGGGCCTGGGGGGGGGGGTCTTCCAAGACAGAGGGGGACCTGGGGCACTCACCCACCACTGCATAGCCTCCGGGCACGATCCGGTAGGTGCTGCTGTCAGTGTGAATCCCATCTGGGAACCAGGCAGCCATGCTTTCGCCCACCAGCCGCCCAAATGCCGCTCCTTCAGGGAGGGGGGTGGGAAGAGAAACAGGTAGTGGAGGGGGAGGGCGGGGGGCACTAGGAAGAGAGAGGGTCAGTGGGTCACTCAGTACAGGGGACAGTCAGGGGGGTGGGGGTTGGGGCTGGACCAAAACCCGCTCCCAGGCAGAGAGGGGACGGCCAGCAGGTGGGAAGGGTGCAGGCTAGGAGAGCCGGCCGCCGAGGACTCACCGATGACGAAGACTGGCATGAAGGCCCCGCAGGGCACTGGGATGGTGGTGGCCAGCGCGGACATCCAGAACTGTGGGCAGGAGCCGGTCCAAACGGGTAGAGGCGCCCTCAGGCCCCAGGCAGCCCCCAGCTCCACCCTGAGGAGCCTACCTTGCTTATCGGGCACAAACTCCCAGCCATCCCAGAATCCCCCAGAAGCGAAGGACGGACGAGGGCTCCAGAACCAGATGGCCTGGGTTTAAATCTCACTCTGCCGTCTCGCTCTGGGCCAGTTATGTAACCGCTTTGGGCCTCAACTCCCCATCTTTTGGACAGGGTTGCTGACGGTACCTTTCTCATGGCATTGTTTTTTTTTTTAATTTTTTTTAAAAGATTTTATTTATTTATTTGAGAGAGAGAATGAGATAGAGAGAGAGTGTGAGAGGGGGGAGGGTCCGAGGGAGAAGCAGACTCCCCGCTGAGCAGGGAGCCCGACGCGGGACTCGATCCCGGGACTCCAGGATCATGACCTGAGCCGAAGGCAGTCGCTTAACCGACTGAGCCACCCAGGCGCCCTTTCTCATAGCATTGTTGTGAGGCTTAAGAGGAATTACTATATGGAAAGTTGGAAAGTGCTTAGAACAGTGTCCGGCACCTAGTAAGCCCAGGTCAGCGTTAGCTATATATACACACGTAAGGAGCCCTACCTTCATGAGAATGAAGATGACCAAGGTGAGGAAGACGTTGGCACGCGGTGGGCTCCAGGCCTGTGAGGTTCCTGGCGGCTCCAGGTCCTCCACCAGGCCCTGGCGGACCCATGTCCGGTTGTCAAACAGGGTGACCAGAGTTTCTTTCTGTGAGAGCTATAGGTGAATAGGTGTGCCTCAGGCTGGGGAACAGACAGGCTGGAGAGAAGGGGCCCACGGGAGAGCAAAGGCTGTTGGCTTTAGAAAGGATGTACCCCAAGGGAGAGCACAAGTGTCCGTTCTGCCTGGATTTACCTGTCCGGCCATGAACTGTCCAAAGCCAGGGGGGAAGGTCAGAGTGGAGATGAGCAGGGTCACCAGAGCCGGGAAGAGCAGGCGTCTAGAGATGTAGGTTTTATAGCATCAAACATGGGTGGTGTACCTACTACAGACTGGTGATAGGCTGGGTGCCCTCACATACCTCAGGGCTGAGATCACAGTAGTCTTGGCCCTTACATAAAAGCACACAGTTGTGAGAGAAGGTCCCCTTTGCTGTTCATGATGTGATGGCCCCAAGGGTGATGGCCATCTGGGGTTATTATAAGCCCAAATGCCTTTCTGTCAGCTCGTGACTCGCCAGGTAGGTAGCAGAAGGTCCACCCCCCACCCCTCAGCCCTCTCTCAGACACCTCTGAGCTGTGACTCCTCCCCACGCTCTCAGAAGCCCCAGCTGAAGGGCGCATTGTGTGAGTGTGGAGAAGTTTTCGCCTCTCTCTGTTTCTCTGTGGTGACTTAGAGTGAAGGTGAGTGTTGGGGAAAGCTGGGGCCACTCATGAAGTTGACCAAAGGTGCCAGAGGGAGCAGGTTCAGTGGGCTGCTCTTTCTCTGAAGGAGTCAGTCCCAACAGAAGTCACATCTCAGGCCTCCCCACTCCTAATCCTCAAGGTTACAAATGAGAAAAGCTATGCTCTAGAGATAAAAAAAAAAATCTCACCCGTCTCCATGCTTCAACAGGGGGAAGTTAAGGCTCAAACACTCTCCAGGGAGTGCTGCCATCCAGCCAGGCCAAGAGCTTAAGAAAGGCTTAGTCTTTTTTTTAAATATATATATTTTAAAATTTTATTTTTAAGTAATCTCTACACCCAATGTAAGGCTCCAACTTACAACCCCGGGATCAAGAGTTCCGTGCTCTACCGACTGAGCCGGCCGGGCGCTCCATGGAAGTTTTCCTCTTTGAACTAAGATGCCTTGACTAAAAATTCAGAAGTGCCAATTCTGAGGTAATCCATATAAAAGCCAAAATGTTCAATCATCCTGGAAAACACCACTGGCTGATGTTCTCAACGAAGTGCTGTCTTTCACTGGCACCTTTAACTACTATTTGCCATCTCACCTGTCACTGGCCCTCCCACCCTTGCACGACCCAGAGGGGCCTAGGGAGGAGATGCCAGATCCAACTCACTTCTTCATGAGGAAGCGGTTGATGGTTTTCTGCTTCCGCATCACCTGCACAATCTTCCTGTTCAGGTAGACAAAGAGCGCTCCCCCAAAGCCACTAGCAATACTGGAGAGGGGAGAAGCAGCAGAGTCAAAGGGGGGGGGTCTTCCCTCTTTTACCTCCTGGTCCCTGATGCACCTCGGCTCCCTGAGCTCCTCACCCGATGACAGCAAAGGCGGGTAGCTCCTGGAGGTCAAAGGGGAAGTCAAGCCGGAAGCGAGTTTTGAAGAGAGCCGTGATGGTCTCTGAAAGGCAAGCAGAGGACCAGGCCGAGGCAGGGGCAGTGCTGCGGGCCCCCACCCGGGCCATCCCAGGGGCTCCCCTCACCCCCCAGCCCCCACCGCCCCCCACCTTCATCACGGTTCCAGACTGCCAGGACCCGGAAGATGAAGGCACTGAAGGTGGCAGCAAAGAAGCCCCGCCAGTAGTTTCGCACAGCAAAGAAGGTAGAGGTGACCTCAATGCTGAACAGGACGCCTGTGCGGGGGCAAAAGTGCCACCTGAGGCCCGGGCCCAGTTGAGAGGGGCAGAGGACGGGAGGCCACGGGCAGGGTGGCGGGGCTCGGCCGACCGCCTACCTCCGATAGGTGCCGCGAAGCAGCAGCCCACTCCCACGGCGCAGGCCGCGGCCAGCATCTCCGTGTTCCGGGATTCGTTCTGGCAAGAGCCGTGGAGGCGGAAACGGGCTGTCAGCACGGCCGCAGGCCGCCCCGCCCCTCTGCCTTCCCCCAGGGCTCCCCCTCACCTCGTAGATGCCCCCAAAGAGGGAGAGGAACTTGCTGAGTAGGGCAGCACACATGCTGGCGATATGCACGAAAGGGCCCTGGGGGGTGGGGGGGTGGGGACAAGTGGTGAGTGGGTAAGGGCCACACCCTGACCTTGGCCTGTCTTCTTTCTCCCCTGGGAGGGACTCCTTCATGCCCCAACCCGGAGTTACCTCTTTGCCAAGGGGCATCCCGCTGCCCAGGGCACAGGTCAGCCCAATGACCTTGGCTACAAAGGTCTTCAGGGTGAGGTATTCCTTCAGCACTACCCCGCGCAAGATGGTCTTCATCTCAGGGATGCCGGACCCTGGAGAGGTTATGGTCCCACGAGAGTCATTTGATGTGCCCATTTCAGGAGGTTCCCCTCTCTGCCCTCCCCTTCTCTCTTATTGTACCGACAGCCTGAGGAGCAAGGATCTGTGTGAATCCAGCTGAGAAAGTGATGAGGACGATGGGGTAGGTGACCCAGGCCAGGTACTGCAGCAAGAGGCTGGTGTTCAAGCCCCGGGACATCCACTGTTGAGCTGCGGGGAGAAGACGAGCTGCTGGACCCCAGATGCACACACCCAGTCCCCACCTAGCCACTGGGACCTAATGATATGACAAGCTGTCCCGGGGAATATCGATTGCAGAGAGCCTGGGCACAAGGCGGAGCGAGGGGGCCCTAGAGGACATTCTTTGGGACAAAGATCACAACAGGTAAAAGGGTCAGTTGGAGAGGGGAGGCAAGAAATTGTGGCCTATGGGAGGGGCAGTGGTTATGCCTGAAGAGGGGGCAGTCAGGCTGGCTGGGGAACGTGATCAGGGACCAAGTAGCCAAGCTACCTGGACAAGTGTGGCATGGAGGAAGCAGGTTGGTTCCTCCCGGCCTTCCCCTTGCCAGCCCTTGTCCTTACCCTGCAGACAGGCAGCGATGGCATAGTCCATGGCCCAGCTAACCAGAGCCATGAGGAGCCCCAGCAGGACCAGAAAGATCCAGTCTTCACCAACCCTGGACACTAGGAACTTATGGCAGCGCACGGAACAGACTGCGAGCGGGGAAGGGAAGAACAGGCAGGCTAGCACCAAAGTGCTCCTACCTCCGCCCCCACCCCCACCCCCAACCTCCCACCTCCCAGCGGGTAGCTCTACGGCCCCCAGCCCCCGCAGCACAGCACCGCACAATGCATAGCCACCTCTCCTGCCCCAACCCAGGTCTCACTGCGGCATCGGGCGCAACGGCTCTGTCCGTATTCCAGGAGCTCTGGGGGAGGCCGAGGAGAAGGAGGACCCCTCCAGGTCTCAGGCCCTCCCAGGCGAATCCGAGCGGCTTCCTCTTTGGCAAAGGCCCCAAGGTCCTGAGTATACCGGCCATACATCTGCGCAAGAGGGAAGATGGGGGCATTAGCAGATGTGAGCTGAGTGGGGGACCCCTGCGTCCACTCCCCTTCTCCCAGCCTTCACATTAGATGCCCTCTCCTGAACCCCCAGTTCCCACTTCGGCTTGGGGTGTGGAAACATGGCCCACTGCAGACTGTGGGGGCTGTCCTGGCCAGAGTGATGGGGACAGCCAGGGTACAGGGCATAGTGCTGGGGGTGGCAGAATAATCGGTCCTCTTCTCACAAGCCTGCTTGGGAGCGCGGAGGAGGGTGGGAGGGAAGGCCCCAGAGGAGGAAAAGATGGAAAAACCTAAGGCAGGCTGCAAGTGGGAGGAGGGAAAGGCAGAGACTAAGGGATGGTCAAGGACGGAAGGGGAACAACAATGAGGGCCTCAGGGAGCTGGGGGCAGCTGAGTTGGGCCTAGGAGCAGGCAGGGCCTCAATCCTTATCACGTTCTTGCTGGGCCTCTAGCCTGTGACCAACTCAGCTGCACCCCTCCCACCCACCCTAATCCCCTTGTCCCCATTCTCCACCCCCCCCACCAGCCTGCCAGCCCAGCTGGGAGTGCAAAGTCTCTGGCTGGGTGGAGAGTGCTGGGTGGCCTCAGCCCCACTCTGGAGCTGCCCCGAGTCCAGTGGTGGGTTGGGGGTCGGCAGTAGCTGATGGCTGGGCTATGACTGGGGATGGTGGGGTGCTGGGACCTGAGACTCGCTGAGCCTCAGCTAGACCTGCCAAGCTGGGCGTGTGTTGGGGGGTGGGGAGGAGTAGATTCCGGCTGCCACCCGCAGAGCTTCGGGACACAAAGGGCTCCTGTTGGGGCTAGGGTTGGTGGGGGGGAGGGAAAGACAGAGACAGAGACAGAGAGAGAGAGAGAGAGAGAGAGAGTGATAGGGAGGAGAGGGAGGAGGGGGAGGCAGAGAGAGGAGAAAAGGGAAAGGAGAGGCCAGAGGAAGGGGCAGAGAAGAGAAAGGAGGAGAGGAGAGGGGAAGAAGGAAGGAGGAAAAGGGAGAAAGAAGTAGAGTACAAAGAGGCGGACACAGTGCAGGAGGGGGAGGTGAGTGTGTGAGAGAAAGACAAAGGGATTAGAAGGGGGGGGGGAGGCTGGAGCAGAGGGTGTTCGGGAGAGAGCGTGACCCTGAGGATTCATTCCAGAGATAGAGACCAGGCGGAGGAGGTGGAGATGTGGCTGGTGCAACAGAGACACCATTTCAGAGGCCAGGTGCCCGGCTTCCTTGACCGAAGCCCCATTCCCAGCCAGTGCGGCACCACGACGCCAAGGCCTGCCCCTCTCCCTTTTCCACCCCGCCCTTGCCACCTCTCCCTGTCATCCTGTTTCATCCAGTCTCTCTCTTATAACGGGCACCTCCCAGCCCCAGCTACAGCCCAGGACCCCTCCTCCTGGAGACATTCCCTTCCTGCCTCCTTCCTGGGCAAATTCCAACCCAAGCTGGTGAAAAGGAGCCACAGGGCCCACTCCCTTCCCTCGAGTTTGGGTCCTCTGCCCAGTGCCACAAGAAGGGGCAAAAAAAAAAAAAAAAAAAAAGGCTTCTTAAACACTAAGTTACAATGGTGGCCATGAGTCAGCTCACAGCCCCAGGACCCCTGCTTCTAATGAGGTTAAGGGACACCCCTGAGGTGGGTGGGGGCTGGATACCCAGAGTCAGCATGGACAAAGGTCCCAATTCCCACACCCATTCCTGCTTGACACATCCTCCCTAAAGCTCCCGAACCCCTGGGGTGACAGTCCACCTCTTCCCCCAGAGAACCCGGAGCGGTTCCTGCCAATGCTGGGTTGCCAGCACCCCCCCCCGCCCCCCCCCCGCCCTGCCGTGCAAGGGCTGGCGCTGGGTTTGGGTCTGAACATCTTTCTACACACTCTTGTTTCTACTTCCAGCGCAGTGCCACGCACTTAGTGGGGACAGAGGGAATGTCTAGGATGGTGGAAATGGGAGGGAAAAGAGAAAAAGTTCAAGGGTGTGAGTGGTGCTGGGGAGGGGTAGTGGGGTGCTGAGACCTCAGCCCAGGTGGTGAGGGAGAGGAGCAAAGAAAACGTGTGTAAGTAGGGGTGGTAAAGGGAAGGACACTTGGGATAAGCACCTGAAGTCCTTGTCCTCTGCAGCCCCCCCCTCCCGCCTCAGCTGCAGGCAGCTTTCCACCCTTTAGCCCTCCAGCCTCTTAGGCCCTCGAGCCTCAGTTTCCCCAGCTCAGAAGGCGAGGGCGGGCTTAGGGTAGGCCCCCGGGCCTCGCGCTTCCAAGGGTAACCCGGAGCAGCGGTCCGGGAGCGTACTCCTGAGGGCTCTTCTCGAGCTTACCAGGGTCTGCTCGTACTGCAGCGCCCGCGGCTCCATCCCTTCCGCGGCCGCCGCGGCCCCTGCGGCCGCCATCTCTGCCTACAGCCCTCTTGGCCTCCCGCTGCGGCTCGGGCCCGGGCCCGGACTCCGTTCCCGGCCCGCAGAGCCCGCGCCGGCAACCGTCCCGTCCCTGCCGCCCGGGCGGCCGAGTACAGAGTGCGGCGGGCCCCGGGCGGGCGCTGCTGGCTCAGCTTCGCGCTCGCGTCCCCTCCTCGGCGGGCGGGCCGAGGGCGGTGCCCTCCGTGCCGCTCCGCCCGCCCGCCCATCCACGGGGGCCGACCCAGCCGGGCGGGGGGCTTGGTTGGGGCCGCCGCCCAGGCTCCGGGGAGGCGGCAGGGGGCCCTTGGAACGTGCTATCTGGCGCCCCCTCTGCGCGAAGGCCTGGGACTGAGGGGGGCGCGGGGTGCCGGAGTGGGGGCGGGTCCGCTGGCACGTGGATGGGCCGGGCCCGGCCCGCGGCGCGCGGGGAGCCGGGGCAGGAGGGGCTGGAGACGCCGGGGCGGTAGGGCCTGGGGTCCGGGGCTGCAGAGCCGTCTAAATCAGACTCTGGGCTCAGTCTCTCAGGAGTGGCGCCCTCTCTTGCTTCTCCGGAGGGGGGTCAGCGGCTCAGAGGGGCCTGGCAAGGCCCCTCTGCTCTGTCGAGGGTGAGGAGCAAAGCTGGGGGAACTCGGAGGGGGACGCTAGGCCCAGAAGGCGGGGGTGAGGAGGTGATGCTCGGAACTGAGAACTTCGGTCTCATTCTCTTCCCTCCTCCTTTTCTTCTCCGCGACTCCCCTAGGAAGTCGCACCTGGAATAACCCGGCCTGGGGGATGTACCCGGGTGGAGGTGGGGAGGAAAAGTGAAGGGGTGAGGCCCGAGGGAAGAGATGTCTAGGTGCCAGCGAGGCTGCTCCTGGAAGATGGGCGTGGGGGTACAGAGGTCGCTTTTGCCTGGCAGGGCCCAAGGAGAAACCCAAGTAGCTACTGACGACTCGCCACCATGGGGGAACAGCCTGCTGGGGCTCTGCGTTCTCTATCAGGGTCTGGAGAAGGACAGAGCAGAGGGTGGGGTGAGCACAGGGTGGATGGGCAATGTAAGAGATAGTGTTAGGGGAGAGGCCAGTGCCCAGGAAACAGGGAGTGTGCGGGAGGACGCAGTACCAGGATGAAGGGGCATGTGGGAGGCAGAGGCAGTGACAGAAAGGGGGCAGTGTGAGGAGCCAGCACCCAAGAGGAAGGGGCAGTATAAAGGAAGAGCTGGTATCCGTGGGCGAGGACAGTGCCAACATGAAGGGGCACACAGATCAGCGTCCGGAGGGAGAAGGCAGTGGTCGGGGAGCAGGTAGTCCCAAGCTGAAGGGCCAGTGCTCCCGAGGAAGAGAGCAGTGTGATGGCTGGCGTTAATGCCGGGCTGAAGAGGCAGAGTAGAAGAGAGTAGGGCGCAGAGGAAGAGGGCAGTGGTAGGGAGGGTGCCGTACCAGGGGAGGGGACAAGTGCAGGCTTTCCTCTTCCCCATAGTGACATCATGGCAAATTCCCAAACTGGACGGACCCGGCTCGGGTGACATCCAGCAGGGCCAAGCCGGTCCGGCCTGGGCCGGGCTAGGCCTCCGTGCCAGCTGGGGGGACGGGGCTCTGTGCCTTGCAGGGTCAGCGCGCTGGGAGCGGAGTTCTGTTCCGCCCGCCCTCGGCGCGGACTGTGCCCTAGGCGGGCACGCAGACCAGCAGTGTAAGGCTTGGGCCGGGCTTCTCTGGGCCAAGGATCAAGGTCCCTGGCTGGGGTAGGCCCCCCGTGCATTCCAGTCTTCCCGACCCGGACTCTTTTAAGAGGGCGCAGTAGAGCCTCAGCGTCCAGCGAGGAACCGCACCACCTCGGCCGGAGGTGGAACTAATCGTGTCCCCGCCCTGGGGCGGAGTTATCCGGCCCTGAGACCCGCCCTAAATCCCGAGGCCTCTCGGAATCTTTAGGGGCGGAAGTTAGGCAGCCCCGAGAGCCAGGCGGCGGAAGTGGTAGCGTTACTGCATGTCCGTGCGCATGCGTTGTTCTAGTTCCTTGCTGCCGCCGTGTAGGCGCTGTCTTTTTCCCTCTCTCCTTTCTCCACGCGAGGGGGAGCGCGTACCCCTAGGCGTGGTCGCGCTCCCAGCCCCTCTGCTACTCTCGTGGCCACCTCACCATGGCGGGCATCCTGTTTGAGGATATTTTTGATGTGAAAGACATTGACCCGGAGGGCAAGAAGTTTGACCGAGGTAAGGTGTACATAGACGTAGGGGCGGTTTAGAGGAAGGGGCTAACCGCCTCGGGGACACGCCCCTGGGCCCTTTGTCCACCCCACCCACGTGACCTGCCCCTACAGGCAGTTCCTGATATAGGAATCTTCCTCAGGAAACATGGTATAGATGGGAACACGGAGACTCCGGAATTCGGCCTGGCTTCACACAGGCTGTGCCCTGTGCTTGGGTGGCCTTTTCTCATGGTGCTGGTAGACTGCATTTTTCTAATCGCTCCCCACTCTGTGGTAGGCGCTGTATCGTGCACCTTACATACATTTTGTCCTACCTATTCCTTTCAAGAGCCACCATGAGGTAGTTGGTGTCTTAATCCATTTTGTTCCGAGAAGTTAAGTAACCTACCCAAGGCTGCACAGTGAGTAATTCCGACTTCAGAGCCTATATTCTTGTATTGTCCGAAGAATCTTTAGCTCTTTGTGACGTCCTCTCAGAGTTAGAATTGCCTGCTTGCTATACATCTCTTTATTCTGTCATTGATCAGTAATCATTACTCCTTGGTGTCTGTCTCTTCCTTTGCCTGGAGACTGAGACGTTCTTCAAGACAAACACCAGTTCTTAGAGTCCTGATAATCCACTCAGCACAGCACCTGGCACAGAAAGACAAAACCTTTGGATGAATGAGTAACTTGCCCAAAGTCAGGTTGTTTCTTTTTTTTTTTTTTGTTAGTCACCACACAGTACATCATTAGTTTTTGATGTAGTGTTCCATGCTTCATTGTTTGCGTATAACACCCAGAGCCCCATGCAGTACGTGCCCTCCTTAATACCCATCACCGGGCTAACCCATCCCCCCACCCCCTCCCCTCTAAAACCCTCAGTTTGTTTCTTAGGGTCCATAGTGTCTCATGGTTCATCTCCCCCTCTGATTTGCCCCCCCTTCATTTTTCCCTTCCTACTATCTTCTTTTATTTTTTTTAACATATAATGTATTATTTGTTTCAGAGGTACAGGTCTGTGATTCATCAGTCTTACACAATTCACAGCGATCACCATAGCACATACTCTCCCCAATGTCCATCACCCAGCCACCCCATCCCTCCCACCCTCCACCACTCCAGCAACCCTCAGTTTGCTTCCTGAGATTAAGAATTCCTCGTATCGGTGAGATCATATGATACTGGTCTTTCTCTGATTGACTCATTTCGCTTAGCATAATATCCTCTAGTTCCGTCCATGTCATTGCAAATGGCAAGATTTCGGTTTTTTTTTTTGATGGCTGCATAATATTCCGTTGTATATATATACCACATCTTCTTTATCCATTCATCTGTTGTTGGACGTCTTGGCTCTTTCCATAGTTTGGCTATCGTGGACATTGCTTCTGTAAACATTGGGGTGCACATACCCCTTCGGATCACTACATTTGTATCTTTGGGGCAAATACCCAGTAGTGCAATTGCTGGGTTGTAGGGTAGCTCTATTTTCAACTTTTTTTTTTTTTTTTTAAAGATTTTATTTATTTGACAGAGAGAGACGGAACACAAGCAGGGGGAGTGGGAGAGGGAGAAGCAGGCTTCCCGCCAAGCAGGGAGCCCGATGCGGGGCTTGATCCCAGGACCCTGGGATCATTACCTGAGCCGAAGGCAGAGGCTTAATGACTGAGTCCCCCAGGCGCCCCTATTTTCAACTGTTTGAGGAAACTCCATACCATTTTCCAGAGTGGCTGCACCAGCTTGCATTCCCACCAACAGTGTAGGAGGGTTCCCTTTTCTCCGCATCCTCGCCAACATCTGTGGTTTCCTGACTTGTTAATTTTAGCCATTCAGTCAGGTTGTTTCTTAATCACCTAGGCAGGTCTAGAACCTGGATATTATTTATTGCCAGAGGACCTTTGATTCTTTTCTGAGATTCTGTCCACTTGCCATAGTTTTCTCCCCTGTCCTCCTGGCATATCTGGTTCTGACTGAGTCTGCACTTCTTTGGGAGCAGATGAGAGGCTAGTGGATGCAGACTGGGTTAGAATGAGTGTTCAATTACATATAATCCTCCGGAGTGGGGTCTGCAGGGTCTGCCCTGGCCTGGCGATTACCCATGCCACTCTTCTCTACTTCCCTCCAGTGTCTCGACTACATTGTGAGAGTGAGTCTTTCAAGATGGACCTGATCTTAGATGTAAACATTCAGATTTACCCTGTGGACTTGGGTAAGTATTGAACACAGACAATTGCAGGAGGCTTTTTTTCATTTCAGCTGTTCTTCAGCCTCAGATATTGCTATGATTTTCAGGTGACAAGTTCCGGTTGGTCATAGCCAGTACCTTATATGAAGATGGTACCCTGGATGACGGTGAATACAACCCCACAGATGATAGACCTTCCAGGTGAGGAAGTGAAGAAGGGAGTACTTGAAATATGCCTGAGGACTAAGTAGATGAGGGGTATAGAAAGATCCTTATTTAATTTGTGGAATAAATGATTATCAGTAGAATCTGAGCAACCTTAAGGAAATTGCTGCACTTAAGAATTCAAACAGCCAGGTGTTTATCCAGGGCAGTGATTACATGCTTGTGGGTTGTAGCTTGTTGATCGCTGAGGAGATGACCACTGAGTGACCCAGGCTGTATGAGCCTTGCATCTTCGGAGGGAGTTTGGTGTGATGGAAAGGCTTTGGAACTCCACTGGAGTTCCAATCCCAGCCCTGCCACTTACTTATTGAATAGCCTTAACCTCTTGCAGCCTCGGTTTCCCCATCAGTAAAGTACAGATGGTCACACCTTGCTCATAGGGTCCCTGGGAGGACTAAATGGCATTGTGTTTGGAAAACATCTGTTAGAATGTTGACACTTAGTTACCAGTTACCGTTTTTAAAGGACTTCTTGTTATTGTTAACTACTTTGAAGAATAACCTTGCCACTACTGTTCCACAGGGCTGACCAGTTTGAGTATGTAATGTATGGGAAAGTATACAGGATTGAGGGCGACGAAACTTCTACTGAAGCAGCAACGCGTCTGTAAGTTCCATGGTCTTGTGAGAACCCTTGCCCCCCAACCCTGTTCTGATAACCTGAGCTCTGCTCTGAAAATTTGGGCCATGCTTCATGTTTCCTGGGTTGGGTCTCTCTCCCCAAGCACCTCAGACGTAGGTGGGACCCAGAAAGAAACTGTTGTGGGAACAGTTTCCAGTCTGAAATGTAGGCTGCTCACTTGGCCCTTTGTCAGGACCTTGGGGCCCAAGGGCCCAAATGAGAAACTGATGATCTTGCTATGTGAAGTGCAAAGGAAGGTTTCTTCCCCAGGAACTAGATGCAGCATTAAGTGATTAAACTGCTAGGATTTTTTGTTTTTGTTTATTTGTGTGTGTGTTTTGCTACTCTGGAATCCAAGCCCTAGTTCTTTGGTTTCCCTGCCCAACTATTTTTTCTTTTCTTTAAAATTTTATTAAAACAATATGTGCCCTTTGTAAGAAATTTGAAAAGCAGAGAAGTAATGTGAAGAAGCAAAAAAAGTCACCTATAATTCCATACCCAGAGGGAATCTTTTACATTAACATTTTTAAATGTTCTAGGTTTTTTCCTGTGTACTTTTTTCTTTGAGATCACGTTTATTACAATGTTTTCTTCGGCTCTTTTTCTTCAAGTTATGTAAAACAGGTTTCCCCATGTCAATTTAAAGCTTTTCCTAAACATTTTTTTTAATTTTTTTTTTTTTAAGATTTTACTTCTTTATTTGAGAGAGAGAGAGCACAAGCAGGGGGAGCAGCAGAGGGAGAGGGAGAAGCAGGCTCCCTGCTGAGCAGGGGGCCTGATGCGGGACTCGATCCCAGGACCCTGGTATCATGACTGGAGCCGAAGGCAGACACTTAACCAACTGAGGCACCCGGGCGCCCCTCTCCTAAACATTTTATTTTATTTTATTTTATTTTATTTTTATTTTTATTTTTTATTTTTTTTATTTAATTGACAGAGAGAGAGAGAGAGAGAGGGAACACAAGCAGGGGGAGTGGGAGAAGGAGAAGCAGGCTTCCCGCCGAGCGGGAAGCCCGATGCGGGGCTCGATCCCAGGACCCTGGGACCATGACCTGAGCCGAAGGCAGTCGCTTAACCAACTGAGCCACCCAGGCGCCCCATCTCCTAAACATTTTAATAGCTGCATAACATTCCAGTAAATGGATATATCTTAATTCATTTGACCATTTCCATTATTGTGGGCGTGTAGCATTTTTCACTCTTGTTGATAAAAAGAACACTTCTTTGCACAAATTTGTGCATTCATCCTTGTCTGAATTTTGGTTCCTAATGACAGAACACTAGAAGGGTGCCTCTTTTTCTTAAGCTGAGATGGAGAGCCATTAGGTCGCTGCTGCTCCAGAGCTTAAACTCATGGGACTGGGGCCTTCTGTTTCAGCTCTGCCTACGTGTCCTATGGTGGCCTGCTCATGAGGCTGCAGGGTGATGCCAACAACCTGCATGGATTTGAAGTGGATTCCAGAGTTTATCTGCTGATGAAGAAACTGGCCTTCTAAAGCACCCAGGAAGCCAACCTTGCTGCTTAGTCACTCAGGACTTGGACATCCATTCGAGCCTGAGACCACCTGTTCAGGAAGGGCTGGCTGGCTGGCCACTGGGGGTGCTTCTTTAGGTGGTCTGGACTCAATGGGAAACTTGCCTGTGAAAGACCCAGTGGGAGGGCTTAAAAGGAATCAGAAGTTGTTTGTGTATATGATTTTTTAATTAAACTTTACTTTTTCAGACTGTTTTCCCCACCTTAAAAAAAAAATCTTTTCCATTACTCTAAAATCATTTTTTTCCAATTTGCCTGTGGTATATTGTATTTCTGGCCCACAGCCAGATGGTCACATGTCAATGTAGGATCTATTCTGACCTTTTGGTATCTGGGTTTAGGGTTATCTCAGCCTCCTGGTTGACTATCCCCAACATTTATTCTCCAATGTGATTTTCTCTCTGGGAGAGAGAGTATGGTGCTTTTGGCTCTTGAGGGCACCCCAGCCCCGGAAGATACCACCCATTTGGCATAGAATTTTGAATTGGCAAGGAGCCCTGCTTGTGTCCTTCCAACACTTTCAGTCTCTTAGGAAGTCAGATCACGTTGATTTGAATGAGTCACTTGCACAGCCTGGAAATGTTCATTTTTGTGGAATCTTTGGGTGGAGGCTTTTAGATGCCGGCTTGGGACCTGACTACGAGGAGAGTAGGAAGAGCAGATTTGGTGGTTGTAGGAACAGGTGGAGGAGCTAGGTGTCTGCTCTACATTCCATTGGTGGACCTGGAGGGGAGGGTAAGTGGGTGGGGGTGGGGGTTCTCACCAGTGACACTGAACAGGCAGCTGCTGCACAGACCAGTGCAGTGGACAGGGCAGCAATACCAATGAGGTTGGCAGTCCAGTGGCAGTACCCAGGACAAAGGAGCAGCCTGACTACAGTCCCTAACTTAAAACTGGGCAAGAACAAAATCGAGGAAGTGGTGATGCTTACTAGGACTCTGGCATATGAGCTGGCTCTTCAGCCTGGCATTCAAGGTCTCTGAGAAAGTATCCTGGGCTCTGATTTCCGCTGGGAAATTCAGGGTAGCAATCCAGAAAGATGGCGAGTGTGTATTAAGGAGTTTTCTCTTTTGATCTCCTGGCTTTGCCTGGGGAGCCTGTCCCCCTGCTGGGATGCCCAGGGGTGTTTCCTTCCCCATCATTTTCAGGTCTTTACATGAGGTGTTAGAAATAGTATTTAGGGAAATGGGCTGAAAATGAATGATCTCTGCAGGGGGGGAGGAAACGGTGTTTCTTTGGTTTACTATGTGGGGGGATAGAAGATGCAGTGGGGGTTGGGATGAATTTTTGTGGACTCCTAGAACTTTTACATGGAGTCAGATTTTGGGGGGTGTTTGAGAAGGATGGGCTTAGGTTAGAGTCAGAGAACCTAATTCTCAGTAATAGTTTGTGGGGTAGCATAGCACACTATCCTGGCTGCCCTGGGGTGGCAGAAGAGGGAACTGGCATGCATTCGGATAGAGAGAAGGGTGTTCTGGTTGTAACGGTTTTTTGCATTTTGCGGAAAGGGAAGAAGGGATAGAATCAGCCTGACGAAGTTTTGGGAAGGGTTAGATTCTCAATAGGGACAGCTTAGTTCGCTGGAAAAGCCCATGAGTTATTTGCATTTGCCCTAAAATAGGTCAAATGCCAATCCTGGATGCCTGGAACTTACTAGATGTATACTCCTTGCTGTTTTGCCGTCCTTGTCTCTCATCTGACTGTGCTGAGAACCCTGAAGCCTTTGCCTTTGGTCCCTTGGACATATCTTGTCCCAGGTGCTAACTCTTTCATGGGCCACAAAGTTCTTCATTTGGTTATTACATTTAGCCTAGTTTGGTATTTCAGTAGATTACAATTTCCACTTAACCGTTCTCTTGACGGCATGCTGGAATTGGTAGTGTGGAAGAACTGTTCTCTCCCATGCAAAACTGACACCCTCTGAGATCTGAACAACACTTTTGAGCTTTGTGCATTTGTCGATTCTTTCTCCGTGGCAACTGTTCCGTCCATGATGGGAGAGGAGGACACCTGGAGATGTCTAAATTGGTCTCCCCGTCCAAGAGCTTTGGTTTTCTACTCAGAACTCTTTAATTGTTGATGTATTTCCTCCCTCAGGACTTGAACATCTTTTCTAATAAGCAAAATTACTGAGTGATCTATTGGACAGTGCACCACACTAAGGACCGTATGGGCTCTAGTCAGCCCAGGCTGTTTCTTCTTTTCTTGCTCACAGGCTATGTGAGCACTGAGAACGTGCCTGGCTTCTCTGAGACTGATAGCATCCCCAGCCTGATAGAGGTGTGTGAGCACTATAAAAAGTAACCTACATAAGGCTCTTGGCACACTGGCTTTCCTTCTTCTATTTTGGAATACCTTTACTGGTCCTGGGGTATCTGTGGCGGTGTTTGGAACTCTGGGATCTTGGCTTTTTTACCTACATGGTAGTTTTTCCTCTCCTTTGGGGAGTTGCGGGGGAGGAGGGAAGAGGAAAAAGCTTCTGTTAGTTTTCCTACAGGAGCCTCTAGATATAGGGTTGACCTTTGCAATGGAGTTTTTGTTTGGGACAACATAAACCTTTTCCTAAGCACCACGGTGGCATTTATTTGCAAAGCCCCATAAGCCGGGCTTCTTCTCTAGAGAATTCTTAGCAGAGTTCATGGTGGTCACATAGAGCTGCTTTTTAGATACCGTGGACTTCCGGGAATTGGGAAATGAGCCTTCAACTTGTACTTGTCCCTCCTGCTGTGTGAGCCCTGGGAGACTGACTCTTGCCACTTCCTGCACTTCCCCCTGACCTCCACAGGAGGGAGGCAGGAACCCGTGCCTGGTGAGGCTTCCTGCTGAGCTGCTGAAGCTCTTGCTGTTTGCTCAGCTGTCACGTCCAGGTTTTGTCCTGACTGAACTGTCTGCACAGCCTTACCTGGGGTGCGAGGCTCTCCGAGGCTTTCTGTTAACTTTTTTGGAGGGGAGGGAAGGGGGAGATCTATTGCCCCTTGAAGAACGTCTTTCCCTTGCTTTTCAGTTAGCTTTTGGGTGTTCTTATTTATTCTTTATTTATATAGGCTCAGTTTTGTTGATTGTGTAAAGATAGCCCTTCTGAGAGACTACTTCTCATTCATTTTTCAAGAGTAAGGATCTCCTTAGAAAAGGAGATCAGAGTCCCACTGAGAATGATAGTAAAGGGGATAAAGAGACTAACCTTAGTTCGGAGTAGAAAACCAAAGCTTTTTTTCCCCTGTTTTCTAAACATAAGGTTAGTCTCTACCTCCGTTCAGAAGTCAGGCTGGTCCAGCCCTTTGCAGAATTGTTGTATGAAAAAGAGCACGTAGAGAATTAGTTGTAAATTTGTGGAGAAAACAGACCAAAGATAAGTAGCTGCTCTGGTGAATATTATTGATAGTTTAAAAAAATAGCTTCTGAAGTTTTACAATATACAGTGAAAAATGATCCCCTTTTCTGTCCCGTGTATCCCCCTTTAGCAGGGCTTTGGGTTTCAGGTGAAAGCAGGAAATCTGGTATAACTTGACTCCCAGGGCCTCCCCTCCTGGAAAGGGAACTTTACATGGAGACAGTGCTGATGCTGGCAGGGCCGGAGTACCTTACTCCTTCTGAGACAGATTCTGGAAGTGAGGGTAGGCTGCAATTAGAAGAGGACTGGTCGAGTTGGCTATGACAGTGGGGTCAGGAGATGGAGGTTGGAGCTGGCCCCGGGGGGGTGGGCGAGGTGGGTGAAGGAGAGAAGAGTGTGTATTGCCCAGCAGGAGGATGGGTTGGGGAAGGAGCATATCCAGGCCAGAGGTTGGGGGGCAGGGAGTCCATGTCTGAAGTTCCCGGAGGGATGTCTGGGGCTCCTAGGGCCACGGGTGAGGGTCCAGGAAAGAGTCCATGAGTTCCAATCAAGGGTCCGTGTGTCCTGTTCAGGTGTCCAGGCATTTGGTCTAGGGACCTGGAGGTTTGGTTCAGCAGACCAGGAATCTTGGCTCTGAATCCCTGCAGCCTCTTCAGAAGTCCAGAGCCAGTAGTTCTGGCTGAGACACTGGAGTTTGTCTCCAACAATCCAGAAGTCCTGTTTGGGAGCTTGTGCAGTGTGAGCAATAGAGAGGTATTGCTTGGGACAGCTGTCGTGGGTAGGGCCTGCTTGACACAGAGGGTGGGCCCTACTACAAGCAGCAGGAAGCGCACCTTTCCTCGGAGCAGTTGTTGGAAGGTCAGGAATATGGCATTGGGATCCTTGTGAGTTGTGGTCCTGCCCTGTGGAGGAAGCTGAGGGCAGAGGATGGGCCTGAGGCCAGAGGCCTGGGCTGGATATCATGCCATCCCTCGTCTCCAGGGAAAGATAAGGTGCCAGCACCCAGACTTTATGGCTGGGAGGGAGCACTCCTTAGTTGGTCAGCTGTGCTACCCTCATGATTCCCAGAATTCGCCTTTTTCCCTCAGGTCTTCTAAAGGGACTGAGTCAGCAAAGGACAGTTTCTGTAGTTCCCTTGACTCAGGACTTACTTACCTGGGTTCCAAGGAGGCCCTGCAGGGCCCCAAGGAGGAGACGGACCTGTCCAGAAAGCTGTCCCAGGAGGGATGAGAGGCAGGTGGGTCCCAGTTGTCTCCGTGCTGCCATTACTCCCTCCAGCAGAAGGGTCGCGGCTCCCAGAACGTCCTGTGCCTTGGTCTTCTCCTGCAAAAGAGATGGAAGGGAGAAGCGGCCTGCTTCAAAGGGCATGCTAATAGCGGGTGGGGAGCCCCTAGGAGTAGCCAGCGGAATGAATCATAGGAGCTGAGAATTGGACAGGACCAAGGTCCCACCCAGCCCAGGAATTCCTTCACAGTCTCCCGACAATTGGTCATCAGCCTGTGCTTGAGTAACTCCAGTGTCCGGTAACCCTGCCTAGTCTTACACTTCACTTCAGTCAGAAAGGTTCTTTTTCCCCCTTACACTACGTTGGAATCTGCGCTGTTATAGTTTTTAACCTCTCGGTTCTAGTGCTGCCAATCTACTCTTTCTGCTACAAAATCCTAAAATCGTGATTTTTAAAAAACGTAACGGAGAGATGAGACCATCACAAAGATCATAAAGGTGAAGGAAAGGGGCTTCTGATCAATGGCAGAGCTGGAACTGCAAGGGATCCCTAGGAATTGCCCTTTGTCCCTGGCCCAGTTCCCCGCCCCCAAGACCCGAGGGAAGAAAGGGGATTCTAGGGTTCTTGAGGGTAGAAGAGCTGACCTTGCACGGAGTGCTCCTTCCCCAGAGGTTCCTGAGCCTCAGACGAAAGCGTGTCCAGCTATACCACAAGACTTACAACTTTTCTCCAAACTCATCAGACAGGCTTTTTTCTTTTTTCTTTTTTTTTTAAGCCATTCCTCACAGAATGTGTTTTCTAACCTCTCACTGTTCAGGTTGCTTCTGCCTTCTGGACACATGCCAGTTTAATATGGTCCCTCTGAATAAATTAGCATGTGTCTAGAGGAGAGTATCCAGTACTCAACTCAGTACTGTTAAGTGCAGGCCACTTAAAGGTTTTTAGGAATATTTCCACAAGGTGGATGCTAAACATCTAAAGCCACCTAGAATCACTAGCTCTTAAAATAGCTGCTTTAATAGTGTTACCTGCTAAGTCTGAGGTCAACTCAGTCCTCCCAGATCTTGTTCATAGGAAGTTCTAGGGCCAGAAGTTTATATAAGGGGAAGTGGGGGCATTCTGGCCTGAAAGCTGGAATAGGACTTCACTCGATTACTTTGAGTAAATGTAGAACTTATTGTATATCTCTGTTAAATTTTACCTTGTTTTTGATCTAGCCTTTCAGCAATGTGAATCTTGATTCTATCTTTTGCTATTTTACCTCTGCTTCCCAGTTTTGTGTCATCTGGGGATGACAGATCAGTCTTACTTCTTCATGCCAGCTTGAGAAGTTTGCATGGGAGTAGGTCAAAGGCATGGCTGTGAGAGACTTCTATCCAGCTTTTCTGGGTGTTCAGCTTTGAAGCTATTTTCACCTACTGGGACTGCAAGCCATCTTGTCCAGAGGATATCATCGTAGTGGAATGTAGATTAGGTTAGGGTGGCCAAGCCCAAGGTGAGATATTTTTAGGAAGCTCAGGAATTTTGAAGAATCCATGGGAAGCAGTAGAAAACTGATGAAGACAGGAATTCGGGAAACCAAAGGAAGGGATGGCTTTCTTACCTTCTGGGTTTTCCATTCTCCCAAGCTGAAGTCCACAGCAGGCAGCAGGACAGGTGTGGACAAAGGGTTAACGTCTGGACACTGGTTCTAGTGAAAAAGATTGGTCGTGGGGTGGGGTGGAGATGGGAGCTCAAATAAAGGAGGTGGGGTGGTGACCCAGTGACCAGGAGTAATACATGTCCAGACTAGAGCTTTTAAAAGTGGACTAGATCGCAAATCCTCATCCTCATCAAGGAGTGGTGATGGGGAGGTGGCGGTCCCACCAAGGACAATATGGGAAGAACAGTGATCGGGTCCGGGAGTGAGAGGGAATGATGGGAGGAGGGGTATCTAACGAGTTAATGGATAGAGGGGAGAGCGCTGGGAGATCCTCACCAGTCTGCTGTGAAGGACATGGGAGTCGCGAAGCAGTTTATTTAGGAGACGGGGGTCACAGGCGGGGGGAGCCGGGAGGCACAGATCCAGTCTTGCAGTTAGGAGAAGCATGACCACGAGGAGCAGCTCTTAGAAGAGGAAAAGTGAGGTTGACAGGGTGGATGAGGAAGAAATCATTGTCAGGTGGTGGTCCAGGAATTCCGGGTTAGGACCCAGACCTGAAATCCAGGGCATTTACCTTTCAGAAGCCTCAATCCTGGGAGATTGGGTTCCCTCCGCCCTCCACCCTGGAGGCAGCCCATCTCCTTTCTCTTTCCTCTTTAACCCCTCTGTGATTTGGCCCTAGGTCCCACAGGTGTGTTCTTACCAGTCGGCTCCATTCTGGCCAGGCTGTCTGGTAGGAGCGGCTCCCTGGATGGGGCCTCTCCCCTGACTCCTTCCTGGGGCCATGGAGGCGGCTTGGGCTCCGGCACTTCTTGCACGGTGGGGCACAGGTGGGCTGAGGAAGAGGGTCTGGACTCTATCCTGCAAGTGACAGGAATAATGAACATTGAATCAGGTGTCAAGGAAAGGACTGCCTGGTTGGGGGGCGGGGTGCGGTGCAGCTGCTGGGAGGGCATGAGATGCTGACCAGCCCGGAACTGCTAGCGCTCTGACTGCTCCCAGGTCTCCTTGTGACTGCGGCATGTGGTGTCTCCTCTTTGTCAGGGTTCCTCAGTGAGTCTGGCGTGGGGCTGGTGCTCCTGCCCCTGCTGAGAGCAGCAGGATGGAATACTGCAAGTGCGTGTGCATGCGCGCGCGTGCACACACACACACACACACACACACCTTAACTGGCCTCAAATTCCGAGCAACCTCGGTTTGGTTAGAGAAAATCGGGGATGGGGAGAGGTAATAGGAGTACTGTGGCATGAGCCTGGGAGAAGAGGTTGGAAAGCGGGATATCAGGTGAGGATGAGGAGCTAGCAAACATGTGCAATGTGTTGAGGGGTAGCTGGAGGAGTGGGGCGGAGGACTTGGGGAAAACAAAACTGTACAACTAGGGGTTGGTGATTACAAGATTATGAGAAGGTGGTATGGGAGCAATTAACCGCTCGTTCGCTCTCCATTTACCCCCACCCATAAGCCTCTTGGAGTTTTTCTTTGCACTCCCAGTTCTAAAATACTGGGTTATCTGAGGCAGAGAGAGGAGCTAACAGTCCTGGGACTTCCCACCCAAGGCAATTTGCCCAGCAGTAGGTACCTGCTGAGCGAGGCACCCACCTTACATGGTTACCTCGTGTTGGACACCTACCGTATCCAACTCCTAGCCCACATCTTCCTCCCTGCCCCCTCAGCAGACCCCTTCCAGTTCCTTCACAGGACCCCCCACATGGCCTCCTCCTTCTTTGACAAGTTGTGCAAAGAGGCCTGCACCTGATTCAATATTGGGATTTCCTGTAGGTCTGTCAACATGCATGAGCCCTCCTCCCACTACCCTCTCCTTGGGCCCAGCTTCCCCAGTCCCAGGATTCAGAACCATAAGCTAACTAAGAACAACTGGGTAAGAAAGGGGATTGGGCCTGTGTCTGGCTTGATGCTATATGCCCTAAGCCCTAAATGCACCACCTTTCTTATTTTCTCCCGGGGCACACGTCCCCTTTCCTTAGGGCCAGCCAGGACAGGGCTATATTCCTCCAAGTCTGTGATCGGTCCCTCAGAACCCAGCACCCCACCCCCTACCCCTGCTCTGTCCTGCTCCTCCCATTCTGGGAAGGCTACACACTCTTCTCGACAAAGGTCAGTGCCTGTAGGTTCCAGTTTGCCTGCCCCTCCCCCAGCTGTGAGCCCAATTCCTCTTTCCTATCCTTCCTACCCTCACTTAACTCCAAACCCTGCTTGCCACTCACCGGGTAGAGAAGGACTCCAGGACCCAGGTGCACAGCAGGCAGCACTCTGGGGAGCCGATGGGTAGGAAGACACGTAGTGTTGGGGCACAGCCCCTCCACAGCAGTAGGGTCACAGGCCTGCCCAGGACACTTCTGCCCAATCAGAGAGCAGGGAGCCACCAGATACTGGTGAAGGCCCCCGGAAGTGACGCCTTCTCCTCCCACCCGCACTGAACGTGGAGCCCCTGCCTGGACCATGGTCCACTAGCAGAGCCCAGCTCCTCCACCCACACACACCACAGGGAGGATTTCAACAGGGGGATCCATCTTTTTCTAGGAGATGGGAAACCTGGGACCTGGCTGGGGGGAGGAGACGGGAAGGGAACAGGTCTTTTTTCCCCCGGGAGAAATCTGGCAGGATCTTTTTGTTCCTGCGGAAGAGGCACAGAGATCTGGTTCTGGTTTTAGATTGGTGGGTTGTTCAGTTCCTGACTGGCCAAATTTCTTCTCCCTGGACAACACACCTGCTACTGAGACCCACTAGGGCTCTTGCTTTCCTGCCTTTCTCTCCTATAATCCTGTGGGGGTCGTGTCTTATTCCCCCTTTCCCAGTGGGAATGTGGGGATTGCCTGTATTAGGGAATGACCCCGTCATTGGTCAGTGTTCTAGGAAAAGGGTTTGGACCATTTGAGAGGACTGCGGGGTGGTTAGGCTGGGCTCAGGTGCCCCTCTGTGGTGGGGGGGGGCAGTGACTCAGACAGCTAAGGCCACTTACCTCTGTGCCCAAGCTCTCCTGAGCGTGCCCTGTCTTTCTCCCCCTTCCATCTCCTACCACTCCATATGTGACAAGAGGAATAACCAGCCCCATGTGTCCCTGTCTTAGGAAAGACAGCTGCTGAACCTCCCCCGCAAATACCTCCTGCTGGCCCCCCTCTTCCTTTGGCCCTGGTTCTAGTTCCTTTGCTTTCCCCTCAATCCCAGTCTCCTCACGGTCTCTGTCCTCAGGGGCCTCCTGGCCTGACCCTGTTCCCATCACCCCCACCCCAGTTCTTCCCCTCCTGCTCCTCCTCCCAAGGATGGGGCTGTCAGCTAAGGAGTATGGCCTAGATCCCGGAATTCTCCAGTTCAGCCAGACGAGATGCCTCCCAAGATTAGGAAGGAGGGTGCTGGGATGGTTGGGAGGATGGTGGGTGACTGGGTGTGGGAGGGGACAGGGAGGCAGGCATGACCAGGAAACCAAGACAAAGGAGGTCGGGGGTGGGGTGGAGAGGCAGAGGGTCCCCTGGGTGAAGGGAAGAGGGTGAGAGAGGATGTCAGGCTGGGGACAGCGATGGTTGGATGGGCCTGCGGGACAGGTTACGGTAGGGAGGGAAACACTGTCACAGACAGAAAGGGGACTCTCTTTCTGGCTAAGTTCCTGTCCTGGGGCACAGTAGAGTGAGGGAAGACCTCAGGGAAGAGATAGGGCCCCAGGCCAGGCAATGAGTGTGGGTGGTGTGGGGTTTGAGAGGTGCTGTGGGCCCACAGTAGGGGAGATCAGTTGACGGGCCTTTCCTGCACGTTGTCATCCTTAAAAGACAAGTCTTCATCTTTCCGGCAGGAACCAAGTACTAGCCCAGTGACCGGCCCAGGCCTCAGGCCCAGCCTTTGCCCCTCCCTGGCCTGGGGCTCCCGTCTTGGGCCGGACACGCACCTCCTGGTGCAGCCTCCCTGTGGCCGCCAGCAGCGGGGGGCTCCAGACCCGCCTCTTCTCCCCTCTTCGCGCCCCCTGGTCCCTCCCCTCCCCCTACCCCCTCCGCTCCCCCTTCCCCTCCAGCCCCTCCCTCCTCCCCTGCCCGGTCCCAGCCCCTCCCTCCCCTCCCCCACTCGCGATCCGGGCCGCTGCTGCTGGGCCGGACCCCCCGGGCTCAGCCCGGCCCCTCGCCGAGCCGCCGCCGCCTCCCCGTTTGCTGAGGAGGAGGCCCCCCGGCCGGGGCGCCGGGCGCGGGGCATAAAACGGGCCGGAGCCGGCGCCCGGGGCACTAGAGCCGCGTACGGCCCGGGTCAGCGCCCGCCCGCCCGCGCTCCTCCCGGCCGCTCCTCCCGCCCCGCCCGGCCCGGCGCCGACTCCCGCCGCCCAACGAGCCCCTCGCCGCACTGCCCGGGCCCTGGCCCCGGCCCCCTCCCGCCGTACCGCCCCCGGCCCGGCCCTCCTCCCACCTCCCTCCTCCCTCTCCTGCTCCCTCCTCCCTCCCGCCTCCCCAGCTGTCCCGTTCGCGTCATGCCGAGCCTCCCGGCCCCGCCGGCCCCGCTGCTGCTCCTCGGGCTGCTGCTGCTCGGCTGCCCGCCGGCCCACGGCGCCGGCCCCGAGCCCCCCGCGCTGCCCATCCGGCCCGAGAAGGAGCCGCTGCCCATTCGGGGAGCGGCAGGTAGGTGGGCGGCCCGGGGGACGCGCAGGCAGAGTCCGGCTCTGGGCAAGTCTGCGCCCGCCCGGAGGGGGCGCCGGGCGCAGGTGGCTCAGCGCGGCAGGCGGCCAGGAAGGGTGGGCGGGGGTCGCGAGGCGCATCGTGCGGGGGGCCTAGGTTGGGGGGGGGAACACCCAGGGCCCGGCCGGCAGCGCCCAGGGCGGGCACACCGCAGGAACGGGACAGCGGCCGCCAGCCAAGCCCGTCCCCGCAGGCTGCTCCTTCGGCGGGAAGGTCTATGCCTTGGACGAGACGTGGCACCCGGACCTGGGGGAGCCCTTCGGGGTGATGCGCTGTGTGCTGTGCGCCTGCGAGGCGGTGAGTGAACCCAACTGCCGTGGCCGGGGCCCTTGCGGGTGGGGGGGCGCTCGGGTCCCCGGGATGTCGGAGTGGACTCGGAGCTGCTGAGCAGAAAGAAGCGAGTCTGCAGGTATTTGGGAGATATATATGTATGTCTTTCTAGCGGAGAAAGTGGAGAGGAAGCGCCTCTTTCAAGTCGCAGGTGTTGACTGTTGTTGATCACCCACTATGTGTCAGGCTCTTTGCCAACTGTTTCATCGGTCTCTCACTTAACTCCTAGAATAATCCTGCTAGATACACACTATTACTTCCCCCATTTCCCAGATAGGGACCCCAAGGCCCAGAGACGTTAAGTAGTTTGTTTAGGGTCACGCAGCTTGTTAAGAAGCAGAGCGGTCTGACTCCATGGGATGACCTTGGTCTGGTCCCATGACTCTCCCCTGATCGCCGGGGGTGGGGTGGGGGGGTGTCCCACCAGTTGGTGTCTGGCACTCACTTGGTTTTCACGTCTTCCCCACAAGCAGCCTCAGTGGGGTCGCCGCGCGAGGGGCCCGGGCAGGGTCAGCTGCAAGCACATCAAACCCGAGTGCCCAGCCCTGGCGTGTGTGCAGCCGCGGCTGCTGCCAGGACACTGCTGCCAGAGCTGCCCCCAGGGTAAGGCCGGCGCCGCGGTGAGGGGAGGGCGGCAGGGCAGTGACGCTTGGTCCTGAGCCCCGCGGCTGGCGCGGCCGGAGCAGATGGAGCGGCCCGCCGGCCCTCGTAGCACC